ACCTATTCCGTTTAGTACTTCAGGTGGCTTCTGTTGGCGGTATAAATGTAAATTCCGTAGCGGATACAATTTCCAAACAAGCCTTTTCAACTAGTACTCTTTTTGTAATCGACTCTATAGCTTCTTCAATAAACCGCCTGGTTCTTCGATTTCAAGTTTTGAATGACTTTGCTAGTCGATCCTTCCTGCGTTTCGGATTATGAAGTTCTCATTCCGAAGCTTTAGACAAAGGTGCTATTGAGATATTATATATATATATATATATAAGAAAAGAGACTCATGAGATCTAACTATCAATACTACATGTTATTATCATTCATAGTCATCGTTGCGTGCTTCAAACTTCCCTAGCAAAAGTCCCAAGGGGATTTGATCTTTTCCACCACCAGCAGCAATAGGCTTGAGCTTTTGGTTTCAATTTACGAGTGGGTGAAAATGTATTTTTATTCATAATATTATCCTGATATATTGGTTTAACTTCTTAGATATACTATTAAGTTTTTCATAGATTTAATTAATAAAATAATTTTATTTTCCCGATAAAAAAGGTCATGATATTATCATGTCTAAAGTACTTCTGGGTTGAAACGATTAAAGCGATCGAATCAAACCATTTTGGTTCGGTAATTTTGAAACATGGAGTTTGGTTTGGTTTTACTCTTTTTGGTCATCACGACAAACTTCGCGAGCCCCGTTCTGTAACTTCCCTTCTTTCGTCCGTCCACGAGGCAGTCAAAAGAAAGAGAGAAAGGGGCGGCTATAACGCAGGAGTCGTGGCGGTTGTATGCCACAAGGTCCCTATAGACAAGGGGACAAGTGAATCATCGCTTTTGGGCGCAGGCAGCCCTCTACCATCCATCCCATTGCATTCCTCTCGTAGAGTACTGTACCGTCTCAGACCAGATACATCTATGGAAAGAAAGGATTTCATAGAAAATCTTCATTTTTCTATTTTTTTGGACCCCCATGCATTCCGTTATTCCCGTAACTATGGATTGATTGTCCCTACCTAACTAAATGGTAGTGGTCTAGGGAGCGCAATTGCTAGAGCGCGGGAGAATGAAGAGTAATGATTTAAGCAAGAGCAGCCGGACGGACGAAATGAGAAGCAACGAATTGCTGATCACTGCGTTGCCTTCTCCGGAAAACCATTTTCCCTGGAAACAAACGGTAAAGGGTTTTAGACCTTTGAGGCAGAAACTGAAAGTAATCTGATTGATTACGAGAGAGAGAGAGAGATTAAGTACGTGAAAATAAATGGGAGGGTTAAAGGGAATAGTGAAGAAGGGATTAGGAGAGATGGCTTTCAACGCAGGAGGTGGAGTCATCAACTGGTTTCCCGGTCACATGGCTGCCGCCACCCGCGCAATCCGCAATCGCCTCAAGCTCGCTGACCTCGTCATTGAAGTCCGCGACTCTCGTGTCCGTACCCTTTCTGCTTCCATCTCTGTGTCTCTCAATTCTAATAGAATTTTGAGTTTTTTTCGTTCGCTTTGTTTTTTAGCAGATTCCTTTATCGTCTGCAAACGAAGATTTACAGCCTCAGCTTTCTTCCAAACGACGTGTAATTGCTCTCAACAAGAAAGATTTAGCCAATCCTAATATAATGCATGTAAGTACTCTTTTGTTTTCTCTTTGAAATGGTTTCTTTTCTGTGTTTATAGTCCATTTTTATTTGATGATATGATGCTTATATATTTTATATTTGTTTGTTATAGAAATGGGTTCATTATTTTGATTCGTGCAAGATGGATTGCATTCCAATAAATTCCAACAGCAAGAGTTCTGTTCAGAAGGTTAGTAGATATCTAAATTGTAAATTTCTCCCCCTTTTTTTTTAAATAAGAATCGATAATTTTTTAGTATTTCCTTGGTCTCCGAGGAGTAGTTAGAGGAAAAGAAAATTTCTTTCATGTTTACCAAGGGTCATTCTTAATTACTGGTTTTAAGTGAAGCATGGTATGCTTCTCAAGCAAACGACGATAATTTCTTTTTATTTCTAATTAATTAAATACTGTTATATTTCATTTTCATCGCAAAAGTCAAAGGTTTTACTTGTTTATTCATAACTAGTCTTAGATATTGTTTCTTTGCTTCACTTATGGTTGGAGCGTCTAAAAATTAAAGCTTAACAAATCTAATGGTTCAGATGGAAACCTGAAGGCCAAACCTTGAATTGAGCAGTTTTGTTTATAGGTTGTCTTGGTCAGGATGATAATCCTATTTTGTTTTGTGATGAGGATTGTTTACAATTATGTAAAAACAAATCTAGGATAGTGTTTCCTGGTTTCAATAACTAGTTACACACATGAAGTCCTTCACCTGAACAAGATGTTTAAGCTTTATTTCCCTTTTTCCTCCCTATCAACTAAAGTAGCTCATGGAAAACAGTGTATATAAGAGGTGGTTAACTTATTTTCAAATGGTAGAGGAAAGGAAGAAGTTCAGCAAGTTTTAAATGGTTGGAGAATGAAGTACCAAAATGCTTACTTTGCATCATGCACAATAGAAGTAGGCATCGGCTTCAACCATGTTTTGGTCTTTTAGGACGTGCGAGGGATTTTGAATATAAATGGAAGTAGCATATGCACACTCCATCCCTCATTAAACAAATTAATGACATGATCTGAGCTGCACCTTTTTATACTGCTGTGCTCGTGGGTGTGTAATCCCTTGAATACTGAGTTGGTTTTGGAGAAGTTCTACTGTCTCTGTTTCCTTTTCTGACATTTCTTCTTCATTGTAATAGTATTTCAATTTTTTTACTACATTTCTAAGAATTTGAAATGGACTTGACACTTGCTGAACTTATGTTATTCCCGTCAGATAGTCTTGCACATGCTTTAACCATGCAATTATCCTTCTATGTAATTGATCCAATATATTTTATTGACTGTATATGTTTATGTTTTGAAATTCAATTGAATTCTGTATCTAATTTGCTTGTGTAATTCCATGGTTGTTCAACTTTGTCTTCTTGATGGTTCTCATGCCTAAAGCTTCTTGAACTTGTGGAGTTTAAACTGAAGGAGGTGATTTCAAGGGAACCTACTCTTCTTGTTATGGTGGTTGGTGTTCCTAATGTTGGGAAATCAGCTTTGATAAATTCTATCCATCAAATTGCACATTCTCGCTTTCCTGGTAAGATGTTGCTGTATTCAGCGATAGTAAGATAAGCTGCCTTTGGAAAATGTACCATAATTTTGCATGCAACTCAAATTATCAGTTTTTATGATCTTGAAGACTTTGAATAGTGACAGTTTGAGTTTCCTACATAGTGCAGGAGAAAATGAAGCGAGCTACAGTAGGCCCACTGCCAGGTGTTACTCAAGATATTGCGGGTTACAAGGTCTGAGTTATTTTATTTATTTTCTTTTCTTTTGGAGAGTATATCCATGTGTGTGCGTTGTGCATAAGTTCGGGTGTATAGTGCTTTTTCTCCTGGTCACATGTAAGCATGTAAACATGTGTAAAATAGTATCTCATTGGTTTTATAAACTTTGATAACATGCTTTATTATCTATTATCTTTGTAAGTAGCAAATCACTGGCACATCTTGCATGTTGTCATATTAATGACCCTTCTTCTCTCATCCGTCCATCACCTAAGTTGCTAACGGTTGTCATATTAATGACCCTTATTTTCTTGTCCGTCCATCACCGTAAAAGAGAGAAGTAGATAGATAGACGGTTACCTAACCGCAAATGTCCTTCGGCTAAAAGGCAAAAACACTTTTGACAAGTTCACAGATTTTTGTCCCCAGAACTTTTAGCATATATGTTGCTTGATGTTGCTTGTTTTAAATATTTATAAATTATATTCACTCTTTCTAAATTTAAATTTTATATTTAGATTTTCTTTTTCTCCATCTTTTCCCCTTTTTTTGCTGTTGACAAGCTTTCAAGCTTTATTTTTTAGTCAATATGGTCATGATCTTCCTTCTTGTTGATAGTCCATTAATGTTGGATTCTTATGGTTTTAATGTTGATTTGCAGATTGCTCATCAGCCCAGTATATACGTTCTGGACACTCCGGGTGTATTAGTTCCCAGTATCCCAGATATAGAAACAGGATTAAAGCTAGCTCTTGCAGGTTTAAATTCTTCTTTTTCTAATTTCTTGTGCATTCTACCAGATATTAGTTCCCAGTAATCCTGTTTCTTAATATGAGAGTGAGAATCATGTTGACAGCAGTATGCATTCTACAACTTTTGGAATTTCTACTCTGGTTAGGCTCTATTTGCTACTTTTAAAAAAATAAATTATATGGGAAGTGATTCCTGTAAGCTTACTTTGTCTGTTAACATAAATTGAAATGTAGTTGATACTGAACACAATATCACAGTTAGAAAATCATTTTCAAGTAATCTATTGCTCTGTTCATATTTAGAAACTTTTTTTGGTAGCTTTATTAATAGAATCCAAGTGGTTACTAACCATCTAGTTCATATTCCTGACATCTTTTACTTTTCCTTTTTCCTTTGATTGATTTGCCTAGGTACACAAGTCCATGAGCTCCACTAAGTTCAGGAAACTTCTGTCTATCCATATGCTACTTTTAATGAGTATTGTCACTATGAACTGTATTTTTGTCTAACTAAAAGCTACATACGTGAATGCATTTGCAGGATCTGTCAAAGATTCTATTGTAGGTGAAGAGCGCATTGCTCAATACTTGTTGGCTGTTTTAAATACTCGAGGCACTCCACTTTTTTTTTTTTTTTTTTTACTATGTAATAAAGAATTTGTGATAAGTCTTAATAAATTGATCTTAGAAATAAAATAAATTCATGAAATTATTATTGAGAGAAAAATGGACAATCCATCAAATTGATCTATTTTAACATGTTCCAAAATCATTGTCTATTTTGATTTGTAGTATGCATTTAAAGTTCTTTTTTTCTATTGTACACTTTGATAAATTCGCTTTTACACGTAGTTGTATTTAATTACATCTATAAATTTGGAGTTAATTATTATGTGAATAAGGATAGAAAAGGGTAACTGAAAAAAATTCATTAATTATTCTTTAATATTCTAAACCAACTTATATCTATAGAAAGACATAATAATGACTAAATTTATTTTAGCCACATGCAATTATTTAATACATATCAGTATAAAATTAAAATAATATACAATTATCTAATAAACATTTCATAATTTATTTAAAAGTTTATATGGGTCAATATGTTTGTTGGTATGAATTTAAACAGCCAAATTTACCTCTGAGCTATCAGGCAAGTGGGGCTCAATGTGTGAACCGTTGAAAGCAGATGAATGGCTTTTGTTGCTGTTAAATAGAAAACCGCGATTTGGCTCTGGGTCATCAGGCAACGGCGGCGCTTCAATGTGTGCATGATAAAAAGTAGATAAATGGTTTTGGCTGTTAAGTAGAAAACGGCGATTTGAGAGATGGCCCGTGGGACTTCGGAAAGTTAAAAAAAGCAGAACTGAAGCGCACAGACAGCAGACACCTATTTTATTCATTATGGATAACAGCCTCGTTCAAAGTAAATGTGATGCCCTGTTCATAATAATAACTAGATAAGTGAATGGCAACAATATCATATTTGATATAATAATTAAAAGTTTATCCCAATTTGAAAAAGTAACTAATCAACATAACAGACAAATAGGATTCATAAAAACCATAAATATAGAAGCAATCAGATTTAGATTCTAATGTAAAACACATTATATAATCAAGATACAAAATTGTCAAATAACTTTGACAGTAAACAAGAAACAAGTGAGTATGAAACCTTGAATGTTTTTCTGATGTTAAACTTACATTCATAAGCTCATTAATAAGAGCATAACATAACAGAGTGCTGCTAGAAAATAGGAACTTAAAAGCTATCAATCACTAAAGATATGGTAGATATATTAACAGCAAAAATATGAGAGATATGCTGTCAACAAACTCCTTATAACTGGGAACAAACAAATAAACTTATTTCTTAACAATAATGAGTCATAGAAAAAATGTCCAAACCATTTTCTATCGAAATTTGAGATTGAAACAAAAGTTGATTCTTTGATTTTGCAGGTATTTGTATACAATCTGGAGAGAGATGGTTGTGTTGGTTATGGTTCAAAGAAAAGAAAAAAAAAATATATATAATATACAATTTATTTTTTAGATGTAAAACTAATTCAAAGGGGAAAAGAAAAAATTGAGACAATGGTGATGGCTGGTAGGGTTTCAGTCATTGAGGAGATGTTTCCGAGAGAGAAAACTAATATGACCGCTAGCCTGTTGATTGTTATTCACTAAGGAGATGAGATGAGGCTAGGGTTTCAAAGAGAGGAGAGTCGGAGATGAAAAATAGAGGGACTAAAACCAAACCTAATTGCTAGAATTAAAAACTTACAGACAGTGCACTAGCAGCATATTTTGCAGCACAGATTGCAGTGCATAAATACAGAGGCAGAAGATTACTCGCGTCCAAATTTTACAACTCATCAACCAGGGCTAATATACCAACACATTCTCCAGAAAGAAAAAAGGCTAATTCAATTTTCTTCAATCAAGGCAGGACATAAGATTTTACATTATAATTGTGGGAAAATTCGACGAAATTGTCCAGGAATTTTCATCGGCCCTAAAGTTTAAAGCTCTTCATTCACCAAAAGAAAACAACCCAAAAATAATAAAAACCCTCTTATCAAAGGAATAGCATGTACAATATCATATAATCAGAACTTAGGTACAATTACCGCTAGGCATGGTAGATCTTGACGATTAAATCAAAGAGCGATGAGATAGGGTTTTAAAAAGAAATTTCATACCGTTTTTGCTAAAAAAAAAGATAAAATATTGATAAAATAGGAATCGGAGATTATTATTTCTAGGAGAGGGTTAACAACTTAGAAATTTCAAATACCTCGCTTGTTGCGGAGATGATGGCTACTTCAGGAGATCGTGTGGCCGCTCCCAGCGAATGAGGAAGCGAGGAAGCCGCTATGAGTTACCGAGGAGAAAGCGTTATGCGATAGGGCAGACACTGAGATAGATTTATGAAGCCTAGCCTGCTTGGTTTAGGGATTGTTGAAGGTCCAACAATGGCTCGGCGGTGACTGAAATGAACCCAAAATATAGAAGTTTGGCTTATTGGATTTCAAAGAATGTTTCCTCGACACTCCTAAGTCCTGTACTTTGCACGGCCCATTATGTATTGTATATACAACATCCTAAATGGACATTTGCATAATTTAAAACTATGGTAAAGAAAAAGAAGTTTTTGTATCTAGAAAAAAAAAAAAAAATCACATCTATTACATTATGTGGAATAAGCCTTTTTGATCTTATTTGTATTCTAGTCTGAAGTCTTATTTCTTACAACTATCTTTTTGAAGCAAAGCAATCATTATCGCAGCACGGCATCCGATTAAGACACATGTGAATGCAGAAACATACTTGATGTATCAAGCGCTACGCACTTCTTAAACTGGATAAAATAGGGGATTATTAGAACCCCCAAAATATTGCTTAGGTGGCTTGCAAATCCCACATCGAAAGAAAGGGAAGGGAATAGGGAGTTGTTTGGCTATAAAGGAGCTTAGCTCCTTAAGTTTTATTCATTCCAAAAACTTGTCTACTTGTCTTACACAAAGGGGTTCGACCAGAAAGTCGTGTTCGAATGCCAATCCATTCTTGGGGTCAAATAAAGACAAAAAGGATATGTCAGTGCCTAGCACGACAAAGCACTCTCCGAGGGCATGGATGTCTAAATTTTTTCGGTCAAGAATCTCGATACACGTAAATGTCTCTCTTAGATTCCTCCGGTCGAAATACGGGAAAAACTCCATTCAATTCTCGATGGACGGAGGTTTGCGAAATTCTCCCAAACTGGAAGATCATTTCAGATCCCTCGTAACATATTCTAATAGGGTTTCAATGTGAACTATTGTCACTGTCCGGCAAACAACACAAGATGAAGAACTTTCACCGTGGAGCGGCTTTTTTCAAAAGATGAAGGGGGAAACGTCCAAGTAAAGATGTCGGATGAAGCGAATATACGAGATCCACAAACGTAGATTGCTCGCGGCTAAATATTGCGAAAGCTTTTTCAAAGCCTTTATTGTAAAGGATCCTCCTACTAGTGATATACGGGACGTTATAAGTTGTGCCCGCAAAGTCTGCCAAAAAGAAGTCCTTTGCACTGAGTGATGTATTTTTACGGGTCGCGCCTCGTTGGGAGTAGATGAGTTCTTTCGAATTTCTCGTATCGTTTTTCGTGGATTAGCATCTCGTAGGTCCCTTTGAATGGGCAATAAGAAATCGTCTTGGTAGCAACCACCGAAACCAATAGAACAAGGCTTAGCTCTGCAGCTTGGTCCATAAGCAAGGGTAAGTAAGGTCCATTACCGGCGGCTCCGGACCGAAACAGACTAACGGAGTAATCCCTTATCCTCGGATCGGAGATGCTAATCGGGGCTGGGGGGACCTCTCTACGCCGAACCGAGACTATAGTTATTATACTTTGAATAGGTGCCACTTATACTATTGAAGGAAAGTCATACTTGTCCAGTAGGTTATATAAGAACAATTATCTCGGGACTAACCTTACCGTTCGTGCTACTACAGATCTTTATAAACCAAAGAAGCTGAGGCCTACTGTCACGCACTTCCGCACTAAGCAGGCCAAGGCCAACTACACAAGGCAAGAAGGCATCGCCCTGCGGCTCTCCATCCAATGACAAAGCAAAAGACGAAGAAAGTAACTTACTATGCTTACCGGTCCTTGTGCCCATAGCTTGACCTCTGGGCCTTTTTTCTACCAGCCGATGCCTTCCCAGTTCCTTGTCAAAAGCGAACCTAGTCAAAGCAATGGAAGGAGAAAGGTTTTAGAATCCTTCGCGGCACAGACAGACCCCTCTTTAGCGAAGTCCCCTCCTTTCGCCAACCTCGTCGTCTACATAGCATCCATTTCCGGTCAAAGAAGGACGGAACAGGCACACTTACTATCTGATTGGGCCGTGGACTGGGGAAAAAAAGTAGGGCAGCTAAAGGAAAGCTAAAAGGTATTGGCGAAGAGTAAGATGGAGGTTTGGACGATCGTAGTTAAAGAAAGAAGAGGGAAAGCTAAGCTGCTAACGAAGGGGTTGGGAATTCGCCTCGCCCTAGTACACCACCAGGAAGACATTAGTGCTTTTCCACCTTCCACCGTGGGGCACTGATGAATTCCTCAAGGGGAGCTCAACACTAATTTCTCCAAAAGGCAAGGGATGCGAAAAGAACGGGAATGAAGGGGACACTACGTCGGGGGTAATAAAAAGCACCTGTTGGGGTTCCGGTCCAAGCAGAGCATACTCCAGAAATACATAACCTATCTTCCTGGGGGAGGAACGGAAGAAGCTTCTTTGAAGGAAGCTAGGCCACAGGTAAATGCTTTTTTATTTAGGTTCATATCCGCGTTAGCAAAATTCAAGGTGCCGGAAGTCAGAATGATTGTGAGAAAATGGAATGCCTCCGCGTCCGATGCATGGAATCTGCTGCTAAAGTCTTACTAAAGAATTTGTTGACAGGTTGGAATGATCTTTGCGGAATGAGCTTTGATTCGATGGAATGGGTAAACGATATCACAGAGCCAGACGTGGATTTGCAGCGAAATAAAAATGAAAGGAATTGTTAGTAGAATAAGGGGGAATTTAAAACTGCCTCCTTTCCTCCTCATCCTAACGAATTTTAGAAAGTGTGTGATAGACGGAAATCCCTGCCGAATAAAATTCTTTAGTGATAATTTTGAACCCTTCTTCTTATCGAAAGAGAATTGCGCGTATTAGTAGACCTTGAATTCGCACAACCTGAATGATGGGTCCATAGGTAGACTAGCAAAAAGGGATTAACCGAGTCCGAAATGTATGAGATGTAACCCGATTCAAATCCTTAAAAGAATGCTTACTACGTTACAAGCGCAGATGCCTGGTATCTCACTTTTTAACTGAGTTGCCATCAGTCCACAATAGGTCCTCTATTCAAAACTGCGAGTCCTTGAATCAATATACCATGTAGGTGAGGAGATCGCTAAGCAAGGATATTTCGGCTTGGGACGCATTTTATTTGACGATTTTCTGTTGAGACCCCAACCCTAGAGTGAATCTACTTCGTCCGCGTCCGCATTGAGCTACTTCTCACGAAGCAGTCCATCTTAGGCGTAGGAGAGTTGGGAAGGAACCCGCAATGGTAGCAGCGCTTTTTAGCTTTCTTCAGGATTTGGCCTGAACTGTTTGGTAGATTCCCAAGCGTTACGCACCCGTTCGCCACTTTGTTCTCAACTGTTCCCACCTCCTGGGCGAGACAAGCTACCTTTAGCTAAGAGCCTCTTTTTCCTTCTACCCAGCTCCCCGAAAACAACGTTTGCGGGCAAGTCATTACTTTTACTTGTTCGCTCGACAGAAGGTCGAAAACAGTTCGTTAACAAGCGAATGTTAAAATTATTATTTCTTTTTTTTTCTAAAAAAAAAAAAAAAGGGAATGATTAATTCCACAAAAGCAAAAGAAAGAACTCATTTTTCACGAGATACAACTAGGAATTCCTATTTATTTGTTTCTGCAGGTAAATTTGGTTAATTCTTTTTGTGCTGTTAAATAGTTCCTGATGTCGAATTCTAAAAACCAGCGAGAGGTTCCCCACTCTTCTTTGATCCGTCTTAAAGTGATGTAAGTATCTCTAAACTTGAATTTGAAAGTGATCTTCTAGATATTTATAATAACCTTTGCACTGAATTTGAAAAGCTTGCTAAAAAGAATAAAGTTCTAATGAAGGATTACAGAAAGTTGAAAACTGAATGTAATCATTTGAAAGATACTTTCATCAAGAAGTTACATGCAAAGATCTTATTATGGAGATAAAAAATCTTAAAGATTGCAATGATAAATTTTTTGAAAATATGAAACACTTTGAAGAAAAATGCAAAAATCTGAATTCTGAAAATGAATTTTTAAAATCTAAGATCAGAATTCTAAAGTAAATTTCAGAATCATTTACAAAAGAAAAGACAAGTTCTAGCTATGATAGCACTTCAAGTCATAATCAGTTTTCTGTTAAGAAAAATGCCATTCTAATGTTGTGACTTTAGAACATCAGAAACATTTTGAAAAATTTGTTAGTCTTGATAAAAGAAAAATCATAGCAAAATGAATGAAAAAGGACCTACACCTGTTGCCACTAACCGTCTAGGACCCAATACATGTTGGGCACCTAAATCTGCATGATATTTTCAGGTGTGCCTAAGGAGTGAACTGAAAATAGAAATGTGGTATATGGATAGTGCTTACTTTAGGCATATGACTAGTGATAGTAAGAAATTCACCAGATTAGAAAGGAAAAAGGGAGGTACAGTGAGCTTTGGTGATAAAGCCAAAGGTAAAATTGTTGGTATTGGTGTTGTAGATTCTAATCCTTTAATACAAAATGTATGCTTATTGGAAGGATTGCATTATAAATTGTTAAGTGGAAGGATTGCATTATAACTTATTAAGTGTAACTCAAATTTGTGATAAAAATAGAAGAGTGATCTTTGAACCCTCTCATTATGAAGTATAGAACATGCATGATAACAAAAATCTGTTTATAGGAAAAAGAAGACTTGGACATGCAAGCATGCACCTTATTTTTAAACTATCGAAGAAAGATTTAGTTCGTGGTTTGCCAAAGTTAAATTTCAAATCGAAGGGCATGGTTTCTATTTCTAGACCTTTAGAATTGCTGCACCTTGATTTGTTTGGACCTATAACTCCTTCTAGCCTTGGAGGTAAATCATATGCAGTTGTTATTGTTGATGATTGCTCTAGATTCACCTGGACACTTCTCCTTATAAATAAGGACGAGTCATATGACCTGCGGAAACAAGTTCAAAACTATGCGGGAGCGAACAACATTTTTTAAAGCAAAGCGCTTAGTCTCTCTTGTAGCGGTCTGATCTTTGGATTGAAGAATTATAAGAAACACCGGTATTTTCCTCCCCCCTTTCTTTTTCTTCTGCAGTGGGTCAAAGTCATTATTGTCTCAACCAAGATTACAGGAATTGGATTAACATTTTCTTTTCCACTCGGGGATGAAAAAAATGAGAAAATTTATACCTCCAAAAAACGAGATCTGAGATACCGTCTGCGATCCATGAAATGAGTTCTCCACTCCTACGATAGAGTGAAAA